AAACCTCTTTATCAATTTCTTTGCTCTATTAACAAACTGAACCACACTTTCGCCATTCATTTGCTTTAAGTTAAGCAATTTCTCTTGATACTCCAAAGGATCCAGATCAAATTCATCATGGAGGGCTTTCCATATTTCCTCCACAGTAGGCTCTCCATCCAGAGCCAACACCAAATCCTTTGCAGGACCAGTTAAATAATCTAAAAGATTTGCTTTCACAACATCTTCACCTATCCAACCATAAGCATAACATGCCTGATTAAAGTCTTCCTTGAATTTTGAACACTCCTTGCTTCCATCATACAACTTCAGGAATAGTTCCCAAGCAGCCCTTAATGCTTGAATTACTGTTGTGATATCAACATTTGGGTTCTGTGCTGGGTGATGTGTTCCATCTCCATGATCTGTTCGAATTGTGATTCGATTTCTTTTCATTTCACTCACCAGTCTATCATAGTCTTCAATTAGTCTTTGTTGTCTTTCTGACATTCCTGCTGGCTGAATTGTAATTGTTGGAGTTGCTGGGGTTGAAGGGTTAGAGTCTGTAACTGCCCCAGTGGCATTTCCATTTCCTCCTTCTGCCATATTTACTTTCTCAAAACTTTTGAATAAACCAAAATATTATCCTGTCGACTGCACCAAATTTGTACTGCTCTTGCTGGCAAAATCTATGCGTTTGCAAGTTATAACAATACTCGTTCTACTCAAACCTTTAAACAAATGTTTAAATTAAAATGGTTTATTCACAATAATAATACTTAAGCAAGTAACAATATGAGAGTTTGATGGCAGAGTAGATAGTTCGTAAAAGTAGGTTGCCAAATTACCAAACTGTCTTCTAATGTTGAGGAGTAAATGGATGGTTCCAGTGGAGGTTGTTTCCAGATGATTTTCCCAGGTCCTTGGGTCCAGATGGAAGCTGCATGCAGAATGAGAGCATTGAGGATTTATATACTTTGAGTTTTGCCTCTGACATCCAATCATCACTTTACAGTTGCCGAAATGTGTAGTTGTTTTTAGCATTAAGATTATATACTAAAACATATATATACTACTTTGGATTTTTAATTTATGATAAAAATCATGTTGCTATAAAGTTGCTATAAAATATTGCCAGTCACATGAAAGAGTAACAGCAACTCTATTTATTTCCTCTCCTGTTTTTTTCATGTTATACAAACATTTAGTACAGGAAATTCAATTCTATTAGTTGTTTCAATAAATTTTCAAAAATCAATTATTGATAAAGAAATTGTTTACAAAAATCACTAAGCTTTTGTCATCTCTATTAACCTTTTATATTGATATCACAATCTCTAATAAAAGACAAAATAGGAATTAAATGATAAAAATATTTATGGAGATATTTATCAAGTAAATGTGGGAATAGATGTGACTTGTAAAAAAAGGCTTGGTAGTTTAGTTCCTCTTTTGTTTTATTGATTTTTTTATGAGAAACTGAAGAATTCTATAGATAAACAAAAGCTTTTTGTGAAATAAATAAAAAACAAATAAAATTGCTATAACTCTGTCATGTGACTTGCAATAAAAATTCATACATTAGAAATCGAAAGGAGAAATAAAAAGGGACCAGTCAAAAATGGTCATAAATAAAATATTTAAAGTTTAGATTTCAGGCTGGGAAATGGTTAGGAGGAGTAAGAAAAGTATTGATATGTACTTAGGTGGGTCCCATCTAAAGGTTAGGACTATTGAAAAAGGTTACGCAAAAGGTTAGAGTTAGGGTAAAACAATAGATTTATGGCCATTTTCTAACACATCCAAATAAAAAATATTTCTTCCCTTAATATCCACAGTGGCTCATAAAATAATCAATTAAAACCAGCTTCAAAGGTTAATAGTGAGGAAGAAAGCTTATTGATAATTTAAATTTTGTATTATAGATATAAATACTTTTTTAGTATTAGGATTATATAGTGGTCAACAAAAAAACCCAGACACCATAAATTTCGATAGGCCAAACATTATAAATCTTTTTCACCAGCAAAAAAGATTTCTTTTTTTATTTTTCAGGTATAAAATAGTAGTATAAGGTTTGATATATACATGAGTTTCTTTTAAATATCATGGAAATAAGTTTTCACATAAGTGTTTTTGTTTTCTTATTATCCATTTTTTGATGATTTTTTTGTTATTTGGCCATGAGACATTATTACTCAGACGATGGTTTGGGGATTAATATTTTTATTATTTTTGAATATGACAACCCTCATTTGCAATACATATGCTAATCCTACCTCCCATCTATGCATATAAATTTGGTAGCCAGTCAGGATTTTGACTTATAACCTGGTATGAACATTTTTTTATTTTCTCCCACAGTTCATCCCCAGATTGAAATTGTGCCCAATCGTAAACTAAATTTTTTGTCAGGTGCCACATATTTTCTATAGGGCTCAGGTCAGGGCTCTTTGCTGGCCAATCAATTGGATTGATACCATTCATTCTAAAGGCCCTCTTAGTTGCTCTTGCTTTGTGGCAGCCTGCATTGTCTTGTTGGAAGATGTAATTCCTGCCCATTTTGAGTGATATCTCTTCAATGACAGGAAGAACATCTTCCACAACAAAACAGCTATAATTTTGGGCAGTCAATTTTTGACTTATCCTCCAAACTTCAAATACCCCATCTGAGGTTATTAATCCCCACATCATCACTCTTCTCATATTTTTAGTGACTCTAAAATTTTTTTCCACCATCTTTTGTCCATGTCCTGAAATCATCAGGCCCACTCAGAGAGAATCTGGTCTTGTCTGTGAAAATCACTCTTGACCAGTCCAGATTTTCCACAATTGTTTTGAGGCAGTATTCTTTTCTTCTTGCTCAATCCTTAGGTGTGAGATCAACTCTCTGTCTAATCCTTTTATAATTATAATTTTGCCTCTTCAGCTCTCTCTGAATGGTCTTGAGACTCACATCAACCTCTAATTCTGCTAAGACCTTTCCTGCTGTAACCCTTTCCTTATTTCTCTTAAGTCTCTTTACTATTCTTTTTATCCTCACTATGTCTCTTTCTGTTAGCTTCTTTGTACGACCCCTGTTCTCTTGTTGTGGTGGCTGATATCTCAAAATGTCACTAATGGTAGATGGTGCCATTCCCAAAGCCCTTGCAGTTGCCCTAATTTTTCCCAATTCTTCATATTTCTTAAATACTAGATTCCTAACCTCTTTACCCCATGCCATAATTAAGTAAATATAATTTATAGTTAACTACAGTAATTAAAATAGATCAAAAGTGATTACTTAACTTTGAAAATTAGTTTGGTCAAAAAAAAATTCTGTTTGGGATGTTAATTTGAATCCAAAACCTGAAAAAAAAGGATGTGCTGTTAATAACATCTCATGGCCAAGTAAAGAAAAAATTAATTAAAATTAGTAAAAATTTTTTCCTATTAATATTCACAAATATGATAATTTTGTCATTTTTTTTCAATATTACATAAATATAACCCTTTATCAATGTAAATTGCCTAAAAAAAGTAATTTGAAACTAAAAAACATATTTTTGGGGTGATTTAAAAATTGGCCTATCAAAATTTACAGTGTCCGGGTTTTTTAGTCCACCACTATATATATTTTTTGGAATACTATATAATCCTAATACCAACAGTTTACTGATTTTAAGCTTTTCTAGCCCTTTTCAACAACTATTCAATACTAAAAAAGTATTTGTATGTATAACGCAAAATTTCTAAAAAGAATGAGCTCTTGTTTTCTCTATTATCCTTTGAAGCTAGTTTCAATTGATTATTTTATGTGCCACTGTGGAAATTAAGGGCAGAAGTATGAACTAATATGAAAAATATATCTGTTTTTTTCCTTATGTATAAGCATTGGGGTTAAAGACAGAAAATTCAATAATTGGATGATTGACCTGAGTGTTCAGCTATTAATATTCCTAGGTGTCAACTGTTAAGGGGTCAAGTGTCCTTTAAATTTCGAAAACAGCATAAACTCTTCTATTAAGAAAAGTGAAGATCAAGAAAGCAATTTAGAAGAATTTTTAAAATGAGCATATATCTGATGATGCAAGTGAAAATTCTGGTAGTGAAACCAATTATGAAAGGTATGGTACTGGTAATGATATTAATATTGAAAGTAATGACACCGCCAGTGACAATAATTCTGAAAGTGATTATAGTGGCAGTGATATCAATAATGATGATACTGAAAGTAATCACAGTTAGGATGAAGTGATTGAAAAGGAAACACAATAATAATAAATCAGATCACATTAAGCTGTACATACACTCTTTTAAAAATAATGATTATAGTGAATTGGTATGCATAGACAGTAATAGTTGGTCAAATATATATCATTAAATTAATCAGTCCAAATGATAGACTTTCTAACATTCTCTTAATAAAAATAAACATGAATGAACTAGACAGTTTAAGAATTGCAAAGTAATGACTGCATATTATAAAATTGTATCAGCAGTGTGATCAGACTATATATATATATAGTCCTATAAAGAAGCCTTTTTTTTATGCTAAAGGGAATAACTGAACTTTTATTAGAAGTAGATTTTGCTATAACCATTTGAATTTGTTAGTTGTTGTTGCTCAGAACATATGCTTGTGTGTTTGCAATACAGTAGTGGTCTGTCAGTACATGGTTTTTATAATAAATGTAACTGCCTTTCTAGAATAAATTTAAGAGCCCCCTAGTGAAGTTACAATTTCGAATTTATACCTTAAGCATTCCAACTTAGTGCAACTGTTTGAATTAGTTTACTTCTGGGATTTGTGATTTAATAAAATGGCATTAAAACTTAAATCAAAATGGAAGTTGCTTATTGGTGCAATTTTTTTATTTATTTTGGCAATTGTTACATTTCCACCAAAAACTGCCTATGTAAAACACATTGTGAAATTGGAATTGGTCAGTAAATTTAAAGTAAATGTTTTTGACTTGACTAGTCAAAATACAGAAGTATATCAATGTCTACCACTTGTTCAGGTGAACATTTTAGCCTAAAATGTGTCTCCACAATGAGTCAATTATTTCAACATTATTAAGAAAAAATAAAAGACATATCTATGACAAAGAAAGTTTTGATATTTTATCAAAGTTGCTTAAAAATCATCCTGATGCTGGGTTTATTGATATTGGTGCCAACTTGGGCCCATATACTATATTTGTCTCTAAATTATATCAAAGAAATGTTGTGGCTGTTGAACCATTCCCTCCAGTAATTAAAAGATTTCAAAAGTCCCTTCAGATAAATGGCTTAACTGGTTATGTAACACTCATCACCAATCCTATCACTGAAAGTAGAGGAACAAAATTTTTTTATCAAAATAAGGCACATGTTGGTGAGAATAAACTTGCAGTTGAATTTGAAAAATCTGCTAGGCCTATGTTGAAAATGAACACAATAGTTATGGTTGATTTGATTGAAATAATACCATTTCAAAGTGCTGCTATAAAAATTGATGTGGAAGGTGAAGAGTCCAGAGCATTCAACAAGGCTAGCCAGTTAATCAGTATAAGTATAAATAATTATGCCAAGTATATCTTTAGCCAGGCATAGGACGTTTTTTCCCAACAATTAGGACGTTTTTTCCTGCCCTGGGACGTTTTTTCCCAGGGACGTTTTTTCCCAAGGACGTTTTTTCCCGACCCCTCAAAATATATTTATTCCATTACTATTTGAATTTCATTCATTGGACGATAAAATTCAAACATTTAAATCAATCTGTAACAGTTTTCAAACGATGTTTGAATGGAAGATGACTGGAATTGATGCATTTGTTTTTCAAAGTTTTAGATATTGGGATATTTTCTACACAGAATATGAAACAAATGTTTACAGATGCTCAAATAACAGTCAGGAATGGAGTGATTGTCAAAAATTCAAAAGAAAATATAGCTATTATGACACTAAAATTTTTGCAATAAATTGTCATCATTACGTAATGCTCAAGAATTAAACTGCAAATAAATTAAAAATTCAATTTAGTTTAATTGGAAAAAATGAAACAATTTTTAAATATATTCATTCAAATTTAAAATTAACATCATTTACTGGAAGACTAAATGCTATTTTAAAAAATCTATCATTTCCAATATCAAATCTATATTTTAACTTTAGAACTGTTCAATTGGCTTGTAAATATTTTGGTTTTCAAAGTGGAACAATATTGCCATTCAAAGAAACTAATCCAAAATCATTTGTTTTTTTAACAATCAACTGCAATGGCACAGGAAAATCATTAGATGATTGTAAAATCCAAATTTTATGCAAGAATGGTTGAATAGATATTATATTGTTGTTTTTTTCAAGAATATTTCTTTTGGGCAAAGGAAGCTCTATAAAATCACCTGAATCTGCAAAAAGAAAATGTAATAGCTATTGTTAGTGCAAATGTGAAAAAATCTATGTATTCTTTATAAAGGATGGATTAAATGAAAATGCCAATACAGATTAGTCAATGAGATGAATAGATGATTTACTCAAGAAGTATTTTTATATTTATTACAATTACTTTTGATATTTGAATTATTATCTAGAAATTTTTTATTCATATTATTATGAAAGAGTAGGCTTATCTGACATTAAAATTGTCAAATATATAATTCATATATTGAAGGTTTAAGAGATGGAACATCTTTTCATGTCCAGTAAGATCATCCATCTTGCTCCAATTATCCAGTTTACAGTAGTTTTTCTAGTAAAATAATGGCTTTGATTCATTCATCAAGTTGATTTGTCTTCTTTTTTATCTATTTATCTTTATGTTAAGTTCCTGTCTGAGGTGGCTGGAACACTTTTTATGATGATTTTTAATTATATTTCCAATATAAGTGTAATTTTCTCTTTTTTTAGTTATCATTAACTGCAAACATAGTTTTTCTCAAATTGTCATAAACCACTTTCTTTTAAATCAATGACTATGTACACTTATAAACAGTGTCGACAGAAAATGTCCACAAATGAGAAATTTCAAGACAAAAATTTGTATTGAGAAATGGTTAGGAAGAAGAAGACAGCAAGTGATTTCTACTTAAGAGGGTCTCCTCTAAGGGTTAGGGGTAATGCAAAAGGTTAGTTACAGTCAAGGGCTGGATTAGGGTTAGGGTAAAAGCACTCATTTGTGGATGTTTTCTGTCGCATCCCTCTGGGGTAGATGGCACCGAACTGTCAGAACCAACCCCATTTCTATGCAAAGAATAAGATGTTACATAACCAAACATGTTGACAACAACAAGTGTTTATTTACATAAATATGATGTAGTGATTGACCCTTGAGGGTTTACCTACACAAAGTTGTTGTTGTTTACATCACTATTACATAATTTGATAACCCTTACACAATGTTTGTTGTGAACAATCTTTATCTGGTGTTAGACCCTTGTTGTTGACAGCTAAGGCATAAACAACTGATAAGGAATTGTATAAAAGCAGGGCGTAGGTAGTAAGAGGCATTCAGTTCTGAATCAACTCCCTTAGTGAACAGGTCTAGTATTACTTTAGAATACAGTTATATTATTCTTACGTTTTGGTTCTATATTCATCCTCCCTCAATTCTACATCTCTCTTCTAAGTGGCTTACTTCTGATTCAGTTCTATTTGGACCAGTACTTACCTACAACCCCATCAGGAAAATACAGACTAAATTCACCATTTAGACAATTAATTCTTTATATTCTCTTGTTGGAAATGTTGAAATATCTTTCAATATTTAAAAATAGTGGATATATGGCAAGTTGATATTGAATTTGAATATCATTCAAGGACAAATATAATTTACTATTTTGGACTTTTAAAAATTTTTCCAAGTTATAATTGTTTTAAAATTTCTACCAGTTGTTAGGTAAATCCACCCTTTTAAATATCAAATATGGCAATAATCAATAGCTTTTCTTAATATTTATTGTTTCCGACTAATTAATACCTTTTCCTTTGTAACTGTCAGTAAAAGTGTTAAAACTGGTGTAAACATGGAGGGTGTCTTATTGGTATCCTAGAAACCATACTTAGTTACCAAAACAGAAGTACTACTCAACAATGGCATCAAAGAAATTATCTGACATTTTGGAATGTGAAAAACCTAAATATGATATCTCAGGCAAATTATCAAATTTGTCATTTAGTCCATTTTGTAATACGGATCTTGAAGTAGTAAAAAAGCTGATAAGAGATTAAATGGATGATGCAAAAAGAATGGAAATTTAAGAATGGATGGACGAAAAATCGGAAAATAGAAATGATATTTTTCTCACAATGATAATGATATATAGACTTGACCACAATAGAAGAAAAATAATAATGTCTGATTTAAATGTTATTGGCGATGTACCAAAGTTATATATCTTTGCACACAAAACAATTTTAGCAAGTGATATTGAAAATATATTTTCACCTTTAAGAGATATTCAAAATTTGGTTTGGAATGGAACAAACTGTTCAGCAGAATTCAGCAGAAAGCATTATGAAGATGGAGTTGTTGAGTTAAATGTTAAAGCTTTATTAACAAATTGGAGATTTTCAAATAAAAATTTTACTAATGAAACATATAATTCATGGGACTCACAATTCAGGCATATTAGTTGGTTATTTAACAATTTTGGATAATGTATTAAGATTTAATCTGGATTTAAGAGATTCAATAAGTGATTTTGGAAGTAAAGAAATAATTTGTAAATTAAGGGAAAATTTAAAAGATTCTTGGAAAACATCTTTTGATACTAGGTGTTTAACAATTCTATCATATCTTATCAAAAAAGATGAAATTGAAATGATTAAGATGAATGGTATAAATACTGCAAAAATCCAAAATAATTTGCAATGTTGTTTAAAGTCTAAAAATCATCTTGATAAAAACAAATATCCACTCAGTGACAGTCTTATAGCAATCAATCATCTAGCAGCTAATGATGAAAATAAACAACTAATGATAAGATATATTCCCTTTTTGTTGGCTATTCTTCAAGAAGCAATAAATTCATTTGAACAAGAATCAGCTGTAGAGTGTCTCAAAACTCTTATCTCCAATGCAGACTGTAAAAAATTACTACAGAAGACAGATTCTTTGAAAATTTTAGAAAATCTGTCAGAAAATGGTATGAGTTTAACTGTTAAAACTAAAACACAAAAACTTATGGAGGAAATTCATTTAAAAGAATTGAAAAATCAAGTGAAAGTAGCAACAAAGAGGACACAACCATTAACAAGAGGATATCTAAACAGCAAGAAAAAACGCTGACTCAGAATAGACAAGCAAGCTGTCAATTCATTCAAGCAACATATCTTTTTAAAAACAGAACTTATGTTGTATTCATTTTTTTTGTTGAGATGTAAAAAACAAATGGGATGTACTTTGTTAACTGTTGGGTTAGGGATAAGGCAAACACAACAAAACGAGATATTTAGGGAAATTATGGGAACACTTAACCTGATCCCAGTTGATTCAATGTCCTATGATTCATACTTGGCCAGGAAAAGTTCTCGAGTTGGAACCATGCCAAAAAACTCTGTAGCCATTCTCTAAATTGATTACAAACTAATACAAAATTTAAAATTTAAAAATTTCATTCCATTATTGCATTTAAAAATAATGAATATTTAAATTCAATTAAGATTTTTCATCAGATTTGTCAAGATGAATGGAACTTCCATGGCATAAATAGATATGTGGTACTTGGATGGTATGTCTCATACCAAAAGGAAACTCTCCAACTCTCTTCAACTAATTAACTTTTGTTCCTTGCGTGAAAAAATAATTGCATTTGAACAATCTGGAATGAGATTATTAATAGAAATTTGGATAGGAACAATTGTTAGGATAGAAGAAGCATATAAATCTCTATTTGACAACACATTACTCAATTTTGTTGCTGTTTGCTGATATCATAGAAGTTTTATTAAAGACTTTGCAAAGATTACGATATTCCTACAAAATTTGATGAAGGAATATGGTAAAAGCATACATTTTTTTCATAGTACCATAGATAAAGAAGTCTCTCTTACTGATATACCTATTACAAAAACTTTGTTCAAACATTTGCTGAAAACAAGCATAATTTGAGATTAGTAAAGTGGGTAATGGCCCTTGTGGATGTGGAATTTGAGAAAATATTAATTACCTGACTGATCATCAAGAAATGGTGAGGGAAGAAACAAAAATTAATTTAGAAGATCAACTATATTAAACTGGAATAAGCAGTTTTCTTTTCATTTAATAAATGCTTTGAAAGTAGAGGCTCTATTTGAACCAGTTGTTTAACACTGTTATTATTTAATATTTTTAATATAAATGTTAACCCTATATTAAACTGGTCTAACCAGGTTGTTTAATGTAAATATTAACCCTATACCTATAATCAATCAGTAAAGAAAAATTCTTTGAACATTTTCACTATGAAAGTTTCTTATGAAAAATCTTAACCGGGTTATATAAAAAAAATCAATATAAATAGGAAGTATTTTCAACTTTAAATATGAAAACATTACTTGTGGTTGTTTTTGCTCTTCTTTTAACTTGCCATGTATTGGCAAAGCCTTCACTTCTTGATGATTTGGTTGAAAGAGATTAACTTTCATTTGATGATAGTTCATTGGAGACTTTGAATAGATGTAGCAGTTTAATGCAGGAACTCACCAAAATCTTAAAGGTATTGAATGATGCATATAATTGTGAAAATGTAGCTTGTATATATATTTTGACATAAGTGATGTTTTTACTCTATTTAGAGAGAAAGTTATACAGATACGAAATTACGTGAAACTTGCAATAACTGTGTAAAGGCTAAGATGACATTGAGCTACTGTCCAACAAAGATGAGATTATGTTTAGACAAGTTCAACATTGACATGTTGCATGACTAAGGAAAGGAGAATAATCATCCATGATAATCAAAAATAAATATTTGATGTTATGATTATGTTATGCCTGACCTATTTCTTTTCAATAAATTTCAAAAAAACCTTTTTGACATATTTCCAATTGTGTTTATCTGAGATACATTTTTAGAAAATCGAACTACTCAAATAGTTTTTTAAATGATTTTTTCATATAACTCAGTTAAGATTTTTTAAAATAGACTTTTATAGTGAAAATTTTCAAAGGATGTTTCTTTACTGATTGATAATAGCTATAGGGTTAATACTTATATTAAACACACTGGTTATTAAGCAACCACAACTAATATTTTCAAATTTAAAGTTGATACCAGAGTAAAAAATACACCCTTTTTTTCTTTAGTATATATATGGAATTTTCCTAAAATGGTTTGGTAAAATATATGTTATATTTTTGGTTAGATACTCTAGATATGAAGTTCTGTCTTTAAGCAGTCAAATGTTGGTTGAAAAAAAGGGAATGCCAATAATTTTCTGAAATCTTTCCAGTCATCTCCTTTTTCTTTATATTTCTTCATATAGCCAAGAGCCTTTTCAACAATTCAAGTTATTCAAAGTCCAATATGTTTTATATGAATATAACTTACCCTTATTTTGCTATATACTTGTGCACTTAGATATAATGATACAGTATATCAATATTTAGACTTTAGATATAATGGTACATTAGAAAGACTTCTATTTCATAGGAATTAGAATGGTGCAACTTTAGAAAGACTTTTATTTTATAGAGTTAGCTTTTATTACTTTAGAAAGAACTCTTTTTCAAACATAGGCCAAAATTTTTCATATTATTTGTGAAAAAATGTTAGAAATTGTATTGATTTCAGTGATGAAAGAAGACAAATTTGAAGAAATGAAACCTTTAATGATTTTGTACACATTCAGGCGGTTATTGTAAACCATACGCATATACTTACCTACAAGTATGCACAATCTATAGAGTAACTCCAAATTGTTACATTCCATTCACCTATGGAAAAGAAATATCAAAATAGTATTTAACAATACTCTGCCTGCCTAGTGTACAGCACACCCTATTTTTATACTATTTAAAGGTAGTTGTAGAATATACTTACAACTAAACTTAAATTCTAGTTTTTATTAATTTGCACATCATATTTAATGATCATTAATTGTATCTTACACTATTTCATATATATTTGAAGTGTGTAGTTCATTGTCACTTCAACAAGTATTGTAAGCACAATACTATTGTAGATGGTCAAGTGAAATTAACCTTACTCTGCCAATGCCTTATACTCAAATATTTTACTTTTGACAAACAATTATTATTAATAATTTGTGGTATTTAAAAACAGCATTATGATGACCTCTGTCTATTTTTGAGTGTTGGTACCAATCCAACATTTACCAAAAATTGTTACATCTTATGCAATTTTCTGACCTATTTGAAACAAACAAAAAAATTAACATTATACATTTTATTATTAATTTTCAATATCACTTGAATTTTTCTTTTGATTCAGCTGCAGGAAACAATTTTCAGACTGCTTTCCAAAGTGCCCTCTCAAAATCCATTCTTATGGTTTTGGGTGAATAATCACCAATCAATTCTTTTACATTCTGATGAAAAAGTAAAAGGTTAATCTTACATGTATTCAATGTCATTTGAAAACATACTTTGAACAGGGTTAGCATTAAAAATTTAATTTGAGTCGCGGACCCTTCAAATGGTCTGCGGACCCTTTCAATCAGCTTGCGGACCTTTTCAACTGTGGACCCTTTCAACATTATCCGTTGTTTTCAAATACTCAATACACAACTCACTTGATAAAAGCAAAGTTGCACATTATTAAAAGTATTCTCTTAATTTATAAGTGTTTCCTGTCACTTCTTTCAATAAAGTTGAAAACACATTTTATGTTTACAAGAGAGTATATCTGAACTTTTCTCTTTATAAAATTCCCCACAAATTCCACATTGGAATTCAGTGTCACCAAAAAAGTTCGTCATGGTTTCCACTTTAACAATGTACATAACCAAAACAAACATAAAATTTTGAAAATTTTCTCTTTTAACCCTTTTTAAGCATAACCACTTTATAACAATCTTGTAAACTAAAGGTTAAGCTTTTTGGACTGATACCGTGTTTTTGAACAAATGGCAATTTCAATAGGAATAGATTATTGATAATTTGTACATATATTAATATTTCTACCATATTCTTGTGATTATTGGTGTACTTTGTTGTATTGTAATTGAGGGAATTTCTGCTTCTTCAGAACAGTATTTGTCCTTTCCAATCATTTATCAACCTACCAAAGTACTCAAACAAATAGAAATTTTCAAATTTGTCCACAAGTAGTCTTAAGAAATGTAATTTCAGTAGAAATTAATCAACAAAATGCCAGTATTTCATTTAAAGAATATGTATTGAGTAAATGAGTTTCTAGTTCTAAACAAGTAAGTTTAAACAACCAGTTAACGGTTAAAGAACTGAACTGACAAGCTGGGGAAATGCATTTCCTTTTATACATTTTCCAAAGCTTGGGTTCAAGTGGTCAAAGGATTGAAATCTGACAGTCTCATAATTCTCATGTAACAAAAATATGAAAGACTGTTTTATATGAGTATAGTAGTGTTGACTGATAGCCTACAAAAAATGAATTTAAGCTATTTTTGATGTTAATGTTGTTATACTTTCCAATATATTGATATATAGGCTTGGGATGCGACAGAAAACAGCCCCAAAATCATGGTTTTACCCCAACCCTAAACCATCCCTATTGTATCCCTAACCCTTAGATGGGACCCCCTAACTACAAATCAATAAATGCTTTTTTCCTCCTAACCATTTCTTAACTCAAAATGCTGCCTTCAAATATCCTTCTTGGGACCGTTTTCTGTTGATCCCTTGGCTTGAAAAGAGAGAAAAATTATTTTCCTACAATTACAAAACAACAAACTACAGGTTAAGATTGGGTGCAGATTTAGAAACAAGAATGTATGTGTGTACCAGTTATTTCACCATTCTGAATTTGTTTCCAGACAATCTTCTTAGATTTCTTGAGGTTTGCATCTAACATTCAATCATCACTGAAGAATGCAAACCCTGTGAAAATCGCTCCCTGTACTGGCCACACTCAGCAACAAGCTTATTAGAAAAATTAATGATGTATTGAAAATCTCTACTTTATTAATATTTTCATCTTAATCTAATGCAAATTTAAAGACTTAAAGTAGCCTTTGTTATAGCTTTAGTAAAACTTTCCTCCAAGAATTCTCCCCCAACATTTGTTACAAGAACTTTTCCACCTTTGACAACATCTTTAACCTTTGAGAGTGCCATAGTAGCACATGAAATTGCTATACTAATTGCTTTTTGAGCACAATAAGAGCGCCAATGAAATTGTCGATTTCTGTAAATTCCAACTGCTGTAATAATGTCTGCACCTGCTTCTATTAATAACCCAATTCCAAATGGTACTAAAAGGCCAGTACTTATCAAAATAGTACCAGCAATTGCCTGAACCCCACTAAGACAAGCCACAACTATTACACTCCTCCAGGGAACAAAACCCTTTTCTCTGAATTCAACAATATTGTCCATTCCTTTTGAGATAAATTCATTCAATACATATTTAGAGGGAGATTTTCTCCAAATATCCCTAATATTTTTCACTCTAAATTCATTTATTTCTTCTTGGTTCACATCAGCATGTTCCATAATTGATGTGACATTGTCACAATTTAAATTGTAAAATTCCAGAGAGAAATTTAAATCATGTTCTCTAAGCAAATTGATAACATCTTTTGCTATTGTTTTGTTCAATCCATCAAAACTAAGGTCAACTTGACCTTCTCCAAGATCAATTTCAAAATAGTCATTAATGTTATTAAAGGAAATATTAAATTTTGTATTTTTGTCACAGCTGTTGATGATGTGTTTTACTTGAGTAGTAATCAGATTGTTAAACTTGATACAGCATGGCGTATTATCTAAATTTAACTTTTTAATTTCAATCAATAGATGATCCCTTTTGAATTGTTTAAATGTTTGAGAATTGCTTTCCCATAAAACACCATGTTTTAGGTCAAGGTTTGCTTTTATCAATTTCAAAAGATTTGATTTTAGTATGATAAGTTCTATATCATATGATTCAACTTTAAGTTCTGTCAATTTTGCCATTGAAGCTTCTTTATTGATATCATTAAAAGTTATATTTAGTGTAAATGGTGCTTGAGATTTCTTAGAATTTGATTTGAAATTAGTGAATTTGTTCAGATTAGCCTCTTTAATGGTAATATCAAAAACTGAATCAGTGACATTAATATTTGTCTTTTTAACATGTTTAATAATTTCATTTATTTTTCCTTCTACTGGTTCACTTGGTTTTTTTCCACCTAAATATTCTATTAGATTTACAACAAGAGGTCCAGTTATTCTAAATTTATGCGAGTACGTCTGTTGTTTTTTGAGAGTTTCTATTGCTGCTTCTCTTGTCAGACCTTTAAATACTTTTTCCTTTTTAAAAAATACACTTTGAATATTGTTAAGATCAACTTGATTCATATTTATTCTAACATTATTTGAGCTAGCATCTAGTGAATGATGGCCTTTGTTATAAGCATTTTCCAGAGTGTTTAATGCTTGATCCTTGTTTTTACCAAGGTCTTTTGAACAAGTAAGATGATTAAATTCTAGTGAATAGGACAAATTTTTCTTGACAATAGCTTTTAATTCTTCTTTTTCTTTTTCCTTGAAATAGGTGTGTGTTTCTGAAGCAGGGTCAATTTCTGGGTGTTTTTCAATAGAAGTCAAATTGACAAGTCGTTTTGATCTCTTGATACAATCTATGGCACTGTTAATATTCTCTATATACTGCAAGAAAATGGTTTCCTTTAAGTTTAATTGTTTCTCCAAATCACTTGAAGAATACTTAGGATCAATTTTGTTCAACAGTTGTCCTGAGGCTACTAATATACTCAATTCATTTAACGTACAATTAAGAGCCTTATTCAATGAACTGAGAGCATTGTCCTTGTAATGTTCAGGTTTTGTTAAAATCAAACACCAGGCAACACCAAAGTGTGCAGCACCAGGACAAAACAGATTAAGATTATCTCTATGCTTATCATTCTGGTATTTCTCTTCTATTGCAATTGCTTTATTGTAGTATTCCAGTGCTTTACTTTTTTTCTCAC